CAGGTTCCGACAGATTCTCACTTCTGTTGAGGTACCCCCTTCGACAGATTTCTAGGCTGGTCACATATTAGCTAAAAGTGAATAAACTTGCTTTCACTATGGTCATTTAAATCCATGTACCGAAATCCAGAATATTGATCATTTATCATGCCGTATTCAAGTTGGTTGGCCGTAGCACTGAAACTTACTCAAACTGGATGTTCCTGGATACATGGTTTACCAATATCGGGTACTGAAGTTCTCGGATTTTTCTTCAGTTTTTTTTTTAAGATTTGAAGGAATCCATTCTATATTCTATTAATGCTTTGAAGTATTTTTATAGCAATAATTGCTTTTTTTACATTAATATTTCGCGTAGTGTCAATAGCAAAAGATTTCACGAAATGAAATTCTGATCAGTCCTAACGTGATCGTAGTATTTACACATTCGTGGTTGTAAGTTTTACAGCCATATTATCTATAACGCCTTGGATCGTAGGGAAACAAGTTTTTTTTTGTAAGCTTAATTAAAAGCGGCTGATAGTGGTACAACCTTTTGCTTTTTTCTGAGAGCTTATCCAGGCAGATTATCGATGAGTACAGTGTACATGTAACAGCATACCAAATTTGGTAAATGGGAAATCGAAGCGGATACTAATTATCAAAAGTGCAATCCGTGCGCAGCTCACTTACTGTAATTAAAACGTAGACAACACAAGCAAATACATTGAATCTTCGTAGTTGACTGTACTTAGTACAACATTATCTAGTTAGTAGAACCCTTATTCTGCAGACTCCACCAAGATACTAGCGGACCGAAGGACAACAACATGTTCTGGTACTATGGGATACAGACTATATAAAACAGAAAAAAAAACGGCTCCAATAGCCACACTCCTTGAAGATCGACAACCCAACAACTTTGACTTGCAGCACAAGTCCCAAAATGCATTCGAGGGGCTAATTCCGTGTGGTAATAGAACGAATCAGATTGCTGGAAGCATTATAAGCCGATTCGATTGGGTATAAAATGATATTTTCCAGATATTTTTCAATACATACATAGAATCTTTATGGTTGTACATTTTAGCAAGCTCTCGTAGGTTGTTCACGGGCCGAATCAGCGCCAAATGCCGCGGCGAAATAGATCATGCGCGTAGTTTTATAGATGTTGGGTTCTAGATTAAAGTATTTATAATCTCAGCTTGCTCTTCCAACCATTTTGCTAGTGCGGTGACCCTGCGGCGCGTGCAAGTAGACCATGTTTTGAGGTAGCCTTGTATCGATCTTTGAGTGGCAATGCTTGCTTCGCAGGCTTCAACGGCTCGCAGTGCGATACGATCTGTAAGGGTAAAACTGGGTCAAACCGAGAGAAAAAAGCAAGGATGAACGGATTCCGCAAAAATTTTATCTGTTAGCTTTTCTCTAGGTACTTCCTCTTGGAGCTTCGATAATCTGTGTTTGAGCTTCGATAATCTGTGTTTAGGCTGCCTTCCGGGCTAGATTATACTGCTTTAATTCGGTAACGTTTCTAGTATGATGGAATAGCCTTTAAAAGCGACAGAGTAGCCAATCTTCTTCTCTTTTGGCTCACGAAATGCCCCCGCCGGATGCACGGCAGATGTCAAGTCGTCGCGAGTCCAAGTAGGTTAGACTTCTACACACACACACACACACACACACACACACACACACACACACACACACACACACAAAGAGAAAATGTGTGGCTAGCAATCCTGTTCGCGACCAAAGACCGATAGCCAGGCCTCTGCGATTTGAATTATCGTATTGAATAATATTGCATATTGGGAATGCAATAATGTATTGAGGAGCGAGTAAAAATGCAAGCATTTTTTCAGCATTTTATCAGTTATTCTAGGGTTAATACTGTCCACCAAAACTACTGGTTGCCACCACCTCGAAAGAGACTTTACGAGCCTTGTGCAATCTCCTCAGCTCATTCGACCTTTTGCAGTCATCCCAACAACTCTCCAGCCCCCTTTCGCTCTAGTCCCCAGACTCGTCGCCATGAATTTCACGAACAAGGACATCGGTTCGTTACTTTTCACCGAGGAAACACCCAACAAGGCAAAATGCTGTGTGTGCGGCAAGATCTACAAGCAAGGCAACGGCTACACAAACCAGATGCACCACCTCCTGAAGATGCATCCTGACTACCCGCGACTGGCTAAAGCTGCTTTCCGGCGCGGCAACCCGCTGGGGCTCACCATGGCCGACCAACGGACCAACGAAATTTTCCGCTCGATCGAGTGGTGTGTGCTGGACCGCATGCCAGTAAGCTTTTGCGAGCGAGCTCTGGTTCGTAAGAATGCTTCCATGGTGCCTATGGCTGCCTCAACGTTGCAACGACACATCGACCTCCTCTACGGATACGTGCGCGACGTCATCGCTGCCAAGCTTCCTGAGAAGTTTGGGTTGGTTCTCGACGGCTGGTCGAGTGGTGGTCGCCACTTCATTGCGATCATGGCTGTGTACCATGATGCTTCTGTGAATAACGTGGGGGGTAGGAAGCCTGGCTATGATGAGAGCATTCAATGCGTGTCACGCCGCTTTGTCTTGCTCGCATTTTGCCCTCTGGGCGATGAAGAAGACCTCGGCGCTCAAAGCTTGCTTGACCTGATAGCGGACACGTTATCAACCTTCAACAAGCCTTGGGAGTCCGTGCTCTTTTATGATTGGTGATAATTGTTCCGTCAACCAGGCTGTTGGCCGAAAAGTTGGAGCTTTGCCTTTCATTGGCTGTGCGAATCACCGTTTTCAGCTGGCGGTGAACGCGTATCTGGCTGATCATGAACCCATGTTGGCCAAGATACACGCGCTCATGAAGCACCTGAGCACCATCAAGTGTCGTGCTGCCCTTCGCAAGGTGACCTCTCTAGCGCCCGTCATGCGCAACGCAACTCGTTGGTCGAGTACCTTCA